GCCGCAACTAAGTCTTATTTATTATTTATATTATGTTGGGTTGTTAATTTTAACAGAAATGCAGTATTTTTAATAATGCTGAAATATAAAGAAAAAATATTTTAGAAAACATATCCTCATACACAATAATTTTCAATAACAGTTTAACTTGATGGATTATAAAAAATATAACTATTGCAAATATATTCTTATATGTATATCCATATCAGTATGTCTGCTAAAAAATCATATTCTTTGTAATCGAATCAATTGAGCTGGCAAATTAATAAATCTAAAGCTAATTCTGAGGAAATGAATACGTTAATTAAAGAATAATATTTATTATTTATAACCATTGTTCACTGTAGATCCAGTTTTGTATATTGTACACCTTAAAGGCCTCATCAATAAACAGAAAATAACAAACAGCTAATAAAGCTCATTCTGAACAAAATTGTGGAGTGGTTGAAGCAGAGAACAAAAACAAAATGGTTGAGGCAAATCAAAGCAAGCTTAGGTGGTTTACTATGGCAACGGGCGCATGGCCTTAACCCTAACCTAGCACAAAATCGCTTAACGATTTTCACCCATAAAAAATTGTGTAATGAAATTAAAGCCGCGACACTGTGGGTAAAGGAAATAAACAGATCAAATAAATGGAACGAAGAAATGGCAACAAATGTAAACAAACAATGCAAATTAATTGTGTCGCGTGTAGCACTGTTCACTGTGTTGATCTCTCGCTCACACCCTCTGTCGTTTCAATACTCGAATTCGCCATTGTCACATTGAAATGTTTTTGTTTTTGCTTTGGTAAATTTGCGTTTTTTTTATTCATTTTTTGTTTTTGCTTTTCTTTTAGCCCCACCATGTGGTTGTGCACGCAGTTAGCAAGTGCGAGCGAGATGGCTAGCGTACACACACTCAGCTGCTGCTGCCGTAGATGCTGCTAGCAGCGACTGCGCTGCCGTCGTTGCTGATGATGCGTTTGCTGTCAGTGGCCATTGAATTTTGGCCGTCAAATGCGGCTATTTGACGACATCAACATCGAAAATGCATAAGTCATGATATGATCAAGACCATCCACAACAAGCAAYATACACAACAAACAAACAAATAAACACATTGTAGTAACTGTGAACTTACCATTTTTGTTCCTATTATGCGTATCGCAATTTAATTTTGCCGCTGATTCTGTTATTGTTGTTGCTCTTGTTATTGTTGTTGCTGGTTGCTGTTTGCCGTTAACTTCAGAGTGGCCAGGCCGGAAGAGGAAAAGCGACGAACGCGCGCGTTTAGAGAGCAGACGACGGGTAAAGGCAACGACAAAACGAATGACGACGCTGACGGTCAGGCGGCCGGTCAGCAGCAGTGGCGAAGGGGAAGGAGAAGGAGAGAAAGAGTGAGGAAGAATGACAGAGAGCGCCGAGTCGCAATGGCAATTGAACAATTGTTCGCCTACTGCTGCTGCTGCTGCTGTTTCTTCCACTWCTTCAGCTTCAGCCTCTTGGAGCAGCGAGCACACGATTTTGAGCTCTGGCTCTGCCTATGGCTCCGCGCTTCGGTTGCGGCTGCGACCCAACACACGTTTTTTTCTTCTTTGCTTCTTTACCTTTGGTCTAGTTCTTTTGTTTGTTTAAGTTTTCTGCACAGCCATTGCCTTAGAACGCTGCATATACAATTGCTGTTGGCTTGTTTCTTGGCAACTTATTGAAATTTCGTTATATTTGATACTTGTTACGGCTGCGCTTAGCTGCAGTCACGCACACGCACAATAACAACAACAAAAAAAGAGAGGAAAACAATAAAAAAAAGTTAACAAGCCGAAAACACACGTAACATACGTCCGCAGCGCACGTCGCACGCTAATAAAGTAATGTTTATCGATATCGATGGAAGTACATATGGAAATACCTATTTGGTATTTGCGAAAATACACTAAATATACTATGTTACCATTTTTTAATTTCATATCCTAAAAGCAACCTGAATGCATGTAAGCAACTGAATACATTCTTTCTTTTCTGTGCAATAATCCGTAAAGGTAAATTATAAAATAAAACACAAAATATAAAATACTGAATTACACACCTATCGATATATGGTCAAACCGCGTAATTATATTAATATGGCTTCCAGACTGACAAAATGATTTTAAAAATTAATAAATGTTTTACAAAATGTTTTGAGCTCATTATACTCTGGCATTAATGAAAAATTAGGTTTTTTTAATTATTGAGTTTGTCCTTGTTCGATATTTCAAATATCGATTGCTTTATAAAGCGATATGTGTTAACAGCGCATGTTAAGATGGTTGTCGCAATACTAGTGATGCGCATAACTCATCGATTAATTTTTTTTATGGCACTAGTGTTTTGTTGTTGCGGTCGCGTTGCCAGTGCGGCGGTTTATATTTATTAGCTATTCTCAGAAAAGAAAAACAGTCATTGTTTTTTCGGGCTTAAACGGCAAAATGTGCGCGCCAAGCAATTAAACACTAGTAGTAGCCATTCACTAAGCTACAGTTTCGGAAAACACTCGCACAAAACAAAAATCAATTTGCAATTTTCGTGCCGCCACTACCATCGCGCCTGTATAAAAAGAAAAAAAAAAAAAATCCAACAGAAAAAAAAACTGATTCGTTTGTTTCTCCTGCCAAATATCGATCGATATATAATTTAACTAATTTTGACCCGATTGCCTTAGCTTCTTTTTCCGTACCAAATAGTTGTGTTTTTGTTGTAATCATTCGCTTCGGTTTGGGTAAAGATTGAACATACGAGAGGAAGAGTGGAGAGGAGAGTGCAAAAATCACACGCTTGTCGCCGGGTGTAAGACGCAAAGAGAGCAGCTGAAGAAATTACCGAGGCATTTAAAATAAAAAAGAGAGATATATATATACATATATATTTATACATATGCTCTAGTGAATATTAAGATGTGTGCTCATTGAATTCAATAAAAATCGCAAATATTAATGAGATTTGTTGATGCTGCAGCACGCCAAGGAAACATTCGAATTGTATGTATAAAAATAAACCAAACAAATCGGCGCCGACATTTGCCACAGCTAGCAACAAGAGAGCATCAGCAGAGAGAAAGAGAAAGAGATAGTTAGCAAGCGAACAAGCGAGCATCCGCCCAGAGTCCCCTTGTGCTCAAATACTCCGCACACCCGCGCATCGTAACGTGAAACGGCTCTGCTCTTTGGGCGTCATCGATATTCGCGTAACCGTTTCGTTTGTTTACGCGAAGCGCGTGCAGACACACGACACACCCTGTGCGCACTCCAGCAAGGAGAGTCCTGCCCTTCCCACATTGCGTGCGTGACTGGCTGATACCCGGGCGTCCTATCTATCGAGCACACAGCAACGCCTATTTACCGAAGACCGCTCCTGCAACGACAACGCGACAACGACAACAAAATCAACAACAACAACGCGCCATTGCCTGCCAGTTCCTCTTCCTTGTTCCATTGGGAAGCAGCCATTTGTGTTTTTCGTGACCAACAGCATGGTAAGTAAGAATGAGAGAATGATATTCACAATTCGAGTGTGTGAGAGAGCTTTCTAACGGACCTGCACCTGTATTAGCACATTTTGCCGTTTGTCTATGCCCATCATACGCCTAATACAAGGTCGCCAGCCCATAATACATGTACATGAGTCTCAGTGTGCGAGTGTGTGTGTGTGTGGGTTAACGTGGGTGCCCTAGTGATGAGATTTTGTATTAATTGCATTTTAGTGTGACTATATAAAATGAACAAAATATTAATATATCGACATGCACATACAAGCGTACATTAAGGTGTGAACTGAGCGAGTTTTTCGGGGTGGTTTCGTGCTTAGGTCTGTCTCCGTTTGCAAATCAACTCCTATTTGAGCATGGCAACTGTCAATGTGACCTTATTTCAAATTAACAGAGAACCCAATTGGATTCCACAATGCAAGTTAGACTAACGGAATGCGTTTTTTGTTCTCATTTGATATGCATTGCCAACAGTGTTGAGAAGCAGCTATAAAAAGCTACACTTTAAAGGCTAAAAATGCTTTATTGAGATTATGTGTTCGCTTGAAATATATTTATTAATAATTAACCTATTTATATGTTGACTGGTGTGTTTCCCATGGGCTTAAACTTTAACAAAAATCAAACTAAATAAAAAAAAAAAAAATTTAGCGATAAAAACACAAACACAATTCGCAGCAGTGATGAGCTCTGATTGACCAGTAATTAAAGGCCTCAGGGGCATTTATACGCTACAAATATTTTGTTTTTGTTATCGATTATTGTGACAGGGACATGCGGACTCAAAGTGTTTGATGAGTGTACGTGTGTTTGTTGTTGTTGTTCTTGTTATTGTTATTGTTGTTGTTGCTGCTTCCATTACAAATGTTACTTAGGCTTTATTTGTAGTTATAATTAGCGTACCTTGATTGTGTACGCACTGACGCTTATCTACCTATGCATACACACATACACACACACACACACATGCGAGCGAACGCAATGAGCCGTGGGTGTGTGTGTGTGTTTGCACAACCTACTGCGATAACGGTAGGCGGGAGACAGGGAGGCCGGTAGGAGGCAGCTGCTGCTCACTGTACGTACGCGCAGCGCGTGACAAATCCAGCAACAACAATAACAGTAATGCGGAATGGCCCACTAGTGGCCACCTGTTAGCCACCCAGAAAGGAATGTCCAATAACGCAGCTAGTTCTTTATTTCTTTTATTTAATTGCTAATCTGCTACTGTTTCAGTTTTTTTGTTGTTGTTTTTTTTTTTTTTTTTTTAGTTATTATTCATAAATAAATACATACATATATGTGTGTGCATATGTATATATATCAAAAACAAATACACATGTGCAAAGATACAGTGGAAGCTCCATTAACGAACAGTTGAGAAAGGAAGCATTTCACATTTCATATAAATAAATATATGTATGTTTATAGATTTTACATACTCCTGTTTCGATTTATAAATGCATATTTCCAAACAATTCTTTCATTATAATAAATTGCTATCAATATTAGTTTTATTTTTTGCCGATTCCTTTGCCCTTTCCCGATTCTTGACTGTAGATATGCGTGTGTGTGTGTCTGTGTGTGCCGGCATTTAATGCACAATTGAATCAAAACGGGCCAACATTCATATAACTTCATAATCAACGTAGCGACCGCTGTTGTACTTTGATAACGTATTTAATTTATTATTATGACTGCGGCCCACCAATACATGCGCCGCCACTGTGTACACACATGCACAATAAGCCCGCAGCCTGCCTCACACACGCACACACACAACTCACGCAGTCGGCTAAACGCGGGCTAGCTCCATCTCTTTGTCGCTTACGCTCTCTGTCTTTCTCTCTCGCTCTCGCTCTCGCTCTCATGCTTGGTAGTAGCCACTCGCCATTTTGTGGGACTCTCTCTTCGCCGCCGCCTCAGTGTAACGGCTGCCTTCGAAGTTCAAGCTTCGCAGCTCCTACAAAAAAAAAAAAAAAAAAAAACAAACAAAATATATAACAATAATAATAAAAAATAATAAAACAAACGAATTTACAAATCTTAACGAAACGCGCGAAAATTTAACGAAACAACAACAACAACACGCAATGGCTTGTTAAACAACAACAACAACGGCAACGGGTGGGTAAACGAAACTTCAAACTTTGTAACGTCTGTACGTGAAAAAAAAAACAGAAAGAATTTCGCACCTGACACCTGACGGGGTCATCAATATCGTTCGTCAAGTACACAGCCATTATTTAGGTACGAGCATATGCACTGTAAATGGACTCGAGTTGTACTTATTTTTTTTATACCCTCCCCCTCCCTCATTTCGTTTGCGAACTTTGTGTTTTAAGCTAGAGTGGAGTACGTGTCGTGATTTCTATTCGATATTCAGAAAAACTTGTATTCAATCTAAAATATTTAAATAAAAAAAGCTACATATTTGCGGTATTCAAAGTATTAAAAAATTTACTTTAATATAAAGCTCTGGTCGTATTAGGCCTGTACGCCTCTAATTCTTTGATATATGTATATAATATATATAGTATACATATATTAGTTTTACGATCGTTGGGCTTATGGGTCGTTTAATTGCCTGCCCTGTTAATTACAGGTATTCAGTTTCTGTTGTTGTTGTTGTTGTTGCTGTCGCCGGAAATTCCCCAGCTTTAATTGTGCTTATGTAATATCCAGCTATATAGATAAGTCTATAGTATATCTGCCATATATACATATATACAAATTGGAATCCTTTTGTGCGCTAGGCTTTGCAGCAACATATTGTTCTTAGTTCGTAAACAATGCATTCTGAGTTTGTTGCATTTTTGAATACCCTTGTAGAGCTGTATCCAGCAAAGTGGGTATATATGCTTTGTACTAACTGAAATCTGCGATACGTTGCCTTATTCAGGGTATCTCCCAGTCAGTCAGTTCGCACTGACGTACTTTTGTTTGTTGTTTATTTCGTGCGAAAATGATTTTCATTTAACAACAATAACAATGGACAGCAGTCACAAAGAGCTTAAAAAACAACAAGCTGATGCACTACCGGTGTTCAGTGAAGCGTCCCGTGTCTATACCCTGCATTCCCAGTGCAGGGTATCTGCGATGGAGCAGAATATACAAAATGTGTGCTAGAAATTCCTTTAACGCTTGTTATACGAAAACAAGTTGGCAATAAATAGTTTATAAGATTAAAATATATATGTTAATGATGAATAGCTACAACAGTACGACTACAGTATACCTCCACTAAAGCGAGCACTCACTGGCTTTGGCTTAACTTAATCAGAACAGACCTAAATTAGTTAACATAAAGTCTTAGGGAACTGTGGATATAGATGCATATAATTAAGTATAGTATAATTGGATTTAGTTTTTAGCAAGGAATCCATAAAAATAAATCTGGCTGCTTAGCTAGTTTTTTTTTTGTTTTTTTTTTTTTTTTGTTTTAAGTTTCACTTAAGCTACCATCGATAGTGAAATTTGTTGTTGTCTATAGTGAATACCCTATAGAAGCGCTATATTTAAGGACTTGATAACATTTTGACGAAATTTTGATAAAATAATCTTTTCCGCAAAAGCAGTTTCAGATAATAATGCCTACAGACTATCTAATTCAGTTAGGCCTTGTAAAAACTTGGCTATATTTGTATCTGATAAGGCGAACTTGTTCTATTTACAAGAAATATTAGAAAGCGCTCATCTCTAGGATGTTATACAACAGTGCATCGAGTGCGATTGAATTGCCCCCAGTTGTACCCAACAATCGAGAATTTTTGAATGGTTTGGCTAAGAGCACGAAATACATAATAATAGCCCAAAAGTCATAAAAACTTTTTATAACTGTTTTCTTTTTGTTTGATATACAACGAGCATATGATGGTTGATAAGACGCATCTAAGGTCGTTCAGGACTCTCAAGTGGCTTAGAACACGCGCGTCATCAGTAAATGAGGAGTCATTGTGAGATATTTAGTTGAGCACTTGTTGCTGCCCGATATACCCTGCATCGGCTCGTTTCGTATCGATGTACCATATATAATATATCAATGCCTAATCACGATCAAGTGGGCTGCTTGTTTTGCCAATAAAAATAGAAGTGAACTTTAGTTATTTCCAGTAATGGGCGCAAGTTTCAACAACTATTTAATGTGCTCTATATGTGCTTTTAAAGTCGACACTATCATCCCCCCAGTTCTCTGGTGACTTAATTCACTTTTAGAGCCAGATAGCCAGGCATCTGCCAGTCGGGCATTGCCTGGTCGAACTGGTTTCGTTGGCGTTGTTATTAACGATTGGAATTACTTCTCGTTTGCACTTTGAATGGGTCTCCATCTGTATTGCGCTTATCGCCTGTGTGTGATTCAAGTTAATTACGCCCCCGAGAAAGAGCAGCAACAATCAGAGACCCGACCAGGCTCTGTGCTCGAAGGGGTATGCCTCATATATCAGCTATCGGACAGGAACTGAGAGACTGAGTCGATCAAACAGCACCGAGTCAAGTCACACATGGTGATTCACCAGCCACATCCGAGAACTGTGAGCTGAGAGCTGAGAACTGAGAACTGATAAACTTTGACTCGAGCGACAAACGAGGTAGTCAGCCTCAATATTTAATCGATTTTGATTCTATTAAATGATATACTTATGTGTATATATACTAAGCATCTGAGCATATATACTATCATAATTATTGAATGATTAATTGTCACATAATGGGGAGAGGGAGAGGCAGACTGCTAGAGAGAGAGGGAGAGCTTACAAAGGTTAGTTTTCCCTCTTAGTGCAATGGAATGTAACTTAAGTGATTCATTAGGCTAGCATTTCGAATCTATGAGTGAAAAGTGCTGTAACTAAACTCACCCACAAGAGCGAATGAGCTCAAATTCATTTAGCTGTGAGGCGAGGCAAAAAAAGTAAGTTTAAAAGATATATAAAGCAAACTTATAAATTAAAATATCAATAAAAAAAAAAGTGAAACTTGAGTGAAACTCTGCCTTAGCTCTGGTAAAGATTTTCGACTTAAAAGGTTAACGTATGGAAGTTATAGACAGATAGAGAGGCAATGAGTTAATTATATAGATAGAATTTATATACATATGTAGAGATATATAGATGGGCTAGACCTGTAGATTACGCTGTACGGATATATATGGAGATATATAGATATAGACAGACAGAATCTATATAATAATCTATATGTATGTATGATATATGAATATATCTATATATATATGTATCTATATATGTTCTATTTAAACTACATATTCTATATAGAAATTAAACAAAATGTATATCTGTTTATCTGCATATATTCTATATCTATATATCTACATGTTCATTCCATCTCTCAGATGTCTTGAAAAAGAACAAATTTAACTGAAAATACTTGGAACTTACGTACTTGTACATGAAATATTTCACGCATACGGCTAAAATCGCGCCCACTTGTGATAAATGGGTGGGAAAATGGGAAGAGCTGAAGTTTGCAGCGCAATTATCTAGTGGAAACAGCGTAAGGCCCGTTRAGACCAGCGTCACTAGCTGCGATTGCGACAATTAATCATCAAATTATAAATATATATAAGTTAAACACATATACGCATATACACGTATATATTATCATATATTTGTTCATATACGGTATACTATATAAATATAAGATGTATACTTTTGCTTATCAGTTTGCCAGCTCGCTCTCGCTCTCTCTCTCTCTCTCTCTCTCTCTCTCTCTCTCACTCTCTGTTAAGTTTTGTGAGCCCCTATCGTAATCGTAATCATTATCGTAACGCCCAGCAAATTCCAAGTGACCGTCGACGCCGTCTAGAGCACCAACCAAATATTGTGCATTGGGCATTGGACTAACAATAATATAATAATTGATTGAGCAAATTCACAGGGGGTCCCAAAAATCAAAGCAAAAAAAAAAACAAACAAATCAACAAATCGCAAACTGTATTTAATTTGAAACTTTATCGATACGATAAAAATGAACTGTAGACAACGCTAGCCATTTCTATATGTACATCTGGGTATACTTGATGGATCTAAATTTGGGAACATTTTCAATTGCTTTCAAGTGATTAAATTCTATGAAATTTGAACTGTCTCAAAATTTTAATTGATTCAGATTCTGATGCTTCTTGGCATATAGAGTATATTGGCTCTTCAACTGCCCGATCTCGAAATGATTGAGCTTTATGCAGCTCTGATAATATTTCGTTTTTTGGGAAATGAATAAATATATATGTATATACCTATATATATACCTGTACATATATCAGCTGTTCAGGTTTTCCCCTTTAATCATAAACGTCGATTGAGTTGCCAATATTAATATAATATTAATAATAATAAATATAAACAAAGTGTAATGCCTCATTAGGAAAGACAGTGATAAATTTCGCCAAAGCTCCCAGTTAGTCATGCCCCATTTATTTAGTATACTAGCTTTTTGTTGGGGATAGCTTTTGAGTCACACAGCTATTGCCGGCTGCTATCACCTAATACCTATAATGCCGCTCTATCGATTCTATCGACTCTATTCAAATAAACTCGACCAAATTAAATTGTATAAAAAAAAAAAAGAAATTAAAAATAAATGAATCAAAGGAATTGGAAAATTCCCACCCACGCAAGGCTTTTGATTTGTCACATTTTGGGAATTTTCGCAGCACTTATAGATATGATAGGAAGTGATGTGAGGCATATATATATATATATAAAGCAAGTGCGGAGAAGTGATACATATAAATACGTTTATATATGTTCTCTATATATTCTTTGAGCTAACAGGTTTGTTCAATAGATTCTGCTGAAGTGTGTGACAAGTACTTAACTTTTATTTTGTAAGGTATCGGCTAGTCGAGCACGCCCGATTGCAGTGCTCTCACTTGCTTTTATTGCTCATTAATTGCATGAACTGGACTTGCACTTTGGTTAACCCTGGTCAATTTTTGACTACTAATAATAACAATTATAATAATAATGTTAATGACAACAGGAATAACAATAACAATAACGATGACAACGGCAATGACAGCAATAAATAGGGGCAATTATAATCAAATCGATGGCATTTGAACTTCTTAATTATTGAAGGCGAAACTATTTGCCCCCATGTAAATTGGACTATATATCCAATGTGTATGTGTGTGTGTGTGTGTGTCTTATGGGTGTGTGGGCACACTTTACTGCCCCAATCTCGGTGCAAACAATAACAACAAGAACAAAAGCAATAAAACTATATAACAAAATAAAAGTAAGTGAACGAGAGAGAGAGAGAGAGAGAGAGAGAGAGAGAGAGAGAGAGAGAGCGAGGGAGAGCAGAATACTTTATCATTATCTTTAATGTGAATGGTCTTAACATTCAAGTTGACTAACTTTTCTTGATGCCGCCATAGTTGCGCTACAATATGATAGATAACTTTTACTATAGATCAAATTGAAGTGCATATTATAGGGATTTATTGTGAAGATCTAGTTAATGCAAGTGGTATAATATATATAATATATGTGTGTATGTAGAGTTACTATATTTTTATATTATATTTA